CCAAAAATTTCAACACAATGTAATCACGTTATAAGCGAGATGAGTTCAGTGAGTAAATCGCATTAGAATTTAGCTGATTCTTTGCATTATTGCTGATTCCGTTTTCTTACCAATTCCATTCGGTCACAGTTCCGATTGACGTTGCGCCGATGAAACGGTAGAAGCAAAAAAAGCGGACAGAACGTTACCGAAGCTTACCTAATCTGTCTTAGACTAACAGGACTATGAAGATCAGCACAGGCTGTTTTTCCGCGTTTGCACCTTTTGCTCTTTCTTTCAATGTCAATGCTAACCGACCAAACGATTCATTCAAAATCTATAGCTGTTGGCGCGCATTGAAACCTAATGCAGTTTGTGGCTATTTGTGTTAAAATACGTTTTAAACGTTTATTTGTGCAATTTCTACAGCAACGGTTAACTTAAGCTTAACTTAAGTCGAATCGGATTACCCAGCTTGTTTGCAACAAGTTTACAAGTTGCATTTCCTCATTGAAGCATCAATATAAACCATACTAACGTTAAATAAATATTACATTTAAATTTTAGTCCAAAAATGATATAAAAAGTGATTATTTTGCTGACACGCGTACGTAGCATGATTTCCTCGTAAATGACTCGCATTTATTGGACATTCATTGACTCTACGATAATAATTCATATCCAGCAGGAGGAGTACGTGCGCTTAATCATATCACACACGTCCAAGTGCACTAAGTGCTCATTGTGTGACGCGGCGCATCGCTTTATGACAATATGCATGATGTTTGTGTTGAATATGTTAGCTGATGTTTTTCCAGCTCGTCCTCATTTGAGGGTGGTAGCGTGGTAGTGTGGTTGCATATCGGGGAGTCATCGCTTCATAATAGTCGCGGTCACGTGTCCAGAACGATATCAGCTTTATATCAGCGTACGCTAGCGAACAATGGTGTACTCCTGCTATTACTAGTCACTAACTGGTAACTGGTAAGTGATTCTAGGGTTTACAGCACGTGTCAGCCACGCAAAATACTGTGAAAGTGCTTCAACGCAAAGTTATTAAGAAGTCATTACGTGAAGGTATTATTAGTACTGCCACCTACATTTTAACAGAATTATTATATTATAACTTAAACTATAAATATATTGTTTGATTTTAGTGATTTTTGGTTATTCTTTTCAGCTTCCCTCCAGGTTTTATTCTTGGTGGGGTTTGTAAAACTCACTCCCTTGCACCTTTCTATTGTATTTTCAGCAGATAGTAGCTGGTATTCTTTTTTTGCGTTCAGTTCCACCGTTCAGGGGTGTCGCGTTACGTTCCGCCGTCGTGATAACTTAGGGCGCTAATCGGCCGTGTGTCTTTCTCGGGTGGCGGCGCCCCCGGTTACCATGGACACCTTTATTCCCGCCCCGTCCCGATTGGCGAACGACCGGAAGGAAGAAAGGGAAACGCACGCCTCTAAAGAGCTTTCACGCGCAACCAGCTTTTACAGGAATGTGTCGAGCAACACAAAACACACACATGCCTGAAAAAATGAAAAATGACGCACAAAAGAATGAAAAATTCAATTTAAAGACTTCCGTATACGTATTTCAAACAGAAAGATTTATTTTAATATTTTATTAAAACTTCTAAGAGTATATAATAGCCTATATTACATGTTTTGATTTTTAGTTTAGTTTTAAGTTGAAAGTTTCAGAACTGCAACGAATTCGAGCGAAACGCGCATTGTGATGGATGTCAACGCATCCTTTGTATGCACGAGTGCCCCCGACGGCGGAAGCGCGCCGTAAACATCGAATAATGTCCGGGAGACGAGTTCCGGACGCCGAACTCGACGGACCGCGGAGTTTTCTCCGCTTTCCCCGAAGCACTTCTTGTTTCGACATCAGACTACCGACTACCACCCTCGCATGTCTGCACACTCCGAGTAAACATGGCAAAACACAGTTTTCATACTTGCAATTGCCCTACTGGAGTTTTGTAGTAGTTTTCAGGGTGGTTTTTGATAGAGAAAGAGGAAGAGACACAACTAGTGCAATCAAGTTTTCAACTGCATCCGACGGACGCCCGGAAACGCGCAGAAGTTTTGCTTCCAGCTTCATCTTCGCTTCGATCTCTTCACTTCTCGGAAAATACGCGGCGAAAAACTTGAAAGTCGTATAAATGTCACCGCTGTATCGTGTTATATCAGTAAAAGCCAATTTATAAGCTTAAATAACCTCAAAAGTAAATTTTAAAAATTATATAATAAAATATGTTTATTACTTAAACTAAACAATAAACAACTAAAGAAATAAAATATAAAGCATTTTTGTACGCAACATTAAACGCAAAAGCAAGGCATGTAATTTTATTACTTAAAATAGTTTTAATGCTTGCACTGTAAAAATAACCTTTCGTCAGAGAAATTAATCACGCATGTGTGCCACTGGTCAGAGTCTCAGACATTAGGATATTTTATTTTCACAAATAGAAGAATTTTCACACGTTCCCAAACCTGGTGCGCTCATAAATTCTGTTTCGCATTGTATCCACCCGCGTTATTTATTCTCTTTGCTCATCGTCGGCGGTTTATTGACAGTAGGACGCGTGTTGGATGTAATTTTAAGGATACGTGTAGTTCAGGTCGACCCTAAGTCCGCATGTGAGTTGGTCAAAGTCAAACAGCATTCGCCACGCGTCGCCCACAAATATTTGTTAATATTTGACCTTTCATGCTTCGTTAATTGCGCGACACTGGGTGGCAGTTAAAAAGTTGGTGTTAAAAGAGGCGCAAACAAGGACACGCGGCGGGTGGCGGGTTACATCTTAATCAAACAAATTTAATTGTGTGTGAATTACAAACATTACGCAATATTTAATTTCCCAACAAGATATTTTCTATTTTATGATATTTGGTGTTAATTGGTGTCAGCTTCTGCACTCTTCATGCTCTCAACATATGTCAGCATTGATATAGGTCACGGAATTGAGGTCGCAACTAAAAATCTAGTGTAATTTCGTATCACTCTCGTTGAGAACCCGTAAAACTGTGATTTGCATCACACGCGGCTAAATATACACCGCGTATTTTTTTGGCAAACGATGATTTTTTCGGCTCGCCACCACACGAATAAATATCATTCGGAGACAACAAGAAAAATGTCTAAATAACGATTTTATATCTATACCTACCTATAGAATCAAAGCACACGAACCGAAATAACAGATGATGCATTCACGAAAAAAATAAATTTAACACCAATTTCTGGCTGGCTGCATCTTTGCTGTTATATTTTTTAAATAATAAATTAACGATTGCGTCAATGGCGTGCGTTTACAATGCGTGGGGAAGGAAAAATAAATTTTATTTATTTTTGGTGTTTATGATGCGGCTGCTTCTGGAATTTGGAAACATTTGACGTAGTCATTGCAAGTTTATTTCGAATTCAGTGAGAAAGGGAAAACAATTTTGTTTACTCTGTTTATAGACAGCTCATCAATGTATTTTTAGTATTACGTCATTAATTCGGCGTTGATTTTGGCGAGTTTATCGATTCGCAAATTTGTTACGCTATGAATTAACAAATTAGGATGTTACAAAATTTAAACAATAATAATTTATTTTTATTTATTTGTAAATTATGTATCAAAGGTTTTAAATTATTTGAAATTACATATTTTGATGTTATTTATGTTTGAGGTTATAAACTTTTTTACTGAAAATATTATTAAACATGTAGTCAAAATTAATGAATGAAATTTCAATGACCGTTCACATTTCTAAATTTAATTGCCTACGTTTAATTTGTACCTCATTTAATCTTAATCGGTCATACGCTAATGATGCACATGTTCATATTGCATTCCTTTTATTTTATTTTTAGTTACTGCTTGATGTTATTCTTGAAATGATCAAAGCTTAATCAGACCCCAATTCTTAATTCTATCTAAATTTACTTTCCTTCAATAATATTATCTAAACACAAATCTTACTTCTGTTATTTTAGAGCTTTCATCTGTAGATTTTTCTGTTTGTATTAAGGTTTTGTTCAATTTAGCACCAGGTGAGGTCACTTTGATTGCGACGCAGTGTTGTGTTATCCTTTGGATCTACGATTACGTGCGCGTGGAATCCTGGCAGTGTGTGTAAGCGTGCGCATCGGCAAAAAAAGTCAAACACACGCAACCGACACCAAGGTTAGCAGTATTTATTTTTGAATGCCCACCACCGCGCGCGCACACCGGCGCAAAGTGTTTTCATGAAATATGTAAAACGGTTATTATTGGCGGCGGTGGCGCGAGCGGTGAGAAAAACTAAACCAAGCGTTTTCATAACGCACTTATACACACGAAAAGATTTTCGGGAGGTATTGCTTGACTTGGGGCGTAAACGGTGGAAGGGCTATTTTTAATACACGTGTGGATATTTTGCGGGACACATGTTACTATTGAAAGACACCTTGTTTATATTTAACAATGACTTGTGCCTTGCACTTTTAAGTGGGTTCGGTAATTCGTGCGCAAATGAAAATCGTGTGGTCGAAGCAACAAGATTTGATTTATGTACGGCGTGTTTTTGGACATTATACATGCTACAATTAGACTTATATCATAATTTAGGAGTTTAAAAGTAAAATTACAATCTGTTGAATATTTTACATTTCAATATTACTTGAAAATTTCAAATTTCAACAATATTTTATTAGTTTTTCAACTGTTTTGTGCGTTATCTGAAAATAAAAGTTATGTTTTATATAAAACTCAATTTAAGTACTACTTTGTAAAGCTGACATAATTTATAAACATCAAAAGTGCCCACAATGTTTCAAATTCCTAGTTAATTATAACAGCGAATCAAAACTTTTAATTTTAAAACAATAAAATTTTCCTTTGAAGATTTAATGGAAATTCACCGCTTGGAATATTGTCGTAGCCCATGAATGGCGTTATAAACAATGAGCGTCCGCCGCCCCCGCACTCAGGCGTCCACATCACTTTATCTCCGTCCAACTCGCACGTTTCGCAATCGTTGCGTGACGCCGTGCGGTGGGCCCCCACGACTCCGACCTGGACGGCGTCGGTGCCGTCGCAATACCCGCCGCCGTCCGAAAAACCGCCGTCCCGGTGCCTACTTGTAAACGCTCTTAGTACCGAACTCGCCAGTCGCCGCTTACGACTCGCAAATTGAACACATTTGGTTAGTAGCTGCACAATTTTTATTTTCACCTCTTGAGCTTGGTGCTCCAAACCGAAATTAATATTACACATTTACACATAAAATAAAATATTTTAAAATATTTAGATAGTTTTATTAAAATGAAAGTGCGACGTGAACTGAAAGTTTCTCATATGAGACCTGCTCTTGTAATATTCTTGATTTATCGTTTTTGGTTTTCGTTTTGCGATCTGATGAGTAAGTACACGTTTGCCGATTTTCGCTTTCACTAGCGCCAGTCACGCCAAGGGTGGCGACCGCAGTGGAGTTTTCGTGAGTTGACTTTTGTTGAGTTTTCCACTTGTTGCGTAATCGATTCGATTTTCATCTATGCAGTGACATTTTAACCTACAAGCAACAAGCAAGCGAAAACTCATACAAATAAATTTCATGTTTTAAATTAAAACAAGTGGAAATTGCTATGATATGAGTTCTTCCGCTGTTCCCTTAAAGAAGAAAACTCGATATCTTATTTATTTATAGTCCTGCGATTGTTGTGAGCGTCGGCGGTTGCATCCTTTCTTGTACAGCGCCACACCACCGGGTGTCATCTATATCTACGTCCGCGTCCGCGATCGCGATCGTTTTGCGCGCCCGTCCCGCGATCTATAATAGGATGTTGGCTATTTCGAGACGCTTGCCCTATTTGTTAAGTTTGTTAAAGCCCGGACCTCGAGGCCTCAACGCCGTCGTGCGCAATTGATCCGACTTACAAGCAAGTCGTTTCAAAAAATCATGTTTTACCACAAAATTTTCAATTTAATATTATCACATCAGCAATAGTATTGAAGTTAAAATAAGGATATTACACGTTTAGAAGCTGTACACGACTGTATAAACTGAAGTATAATTAAATTTATTTTAAGAAATTAATTTTAGACGTTAGTTTCATCCGGCTAGCAACCGGGAAATAATAGCTCAACGAAAATGTGTTTGTAATTTGGAATGCTCATAAAAGATCAAGTTCAAACATGCATAAAAGCAGCCTTAAACAAAACGAAAGCTTTTAGGAAGTAGATACGATCGTATCATGCCAAGAAACAAAACAAAAGTTTAGTATCCATAAAGTTAAACATAAATTGATTTAATTATTATATTTATTATATAAACATTAATTTCTTTAATAATACTCAAGACTTTTATTGTTTCAATTATTTTATTAAACATGGATGGTTTGTACCGTTTAATTTCAACACGCCCGACGCGTTTTCGCTGTTCGTTTGGCATGCAGGCGTTCGTTGTGTCAGAATTGCGTGGTGGCCGTTTGCCAAAATTCGTTACGACGTGCGGTGGCGTCAGCAATTCGTTTTTTCGGTAACTTGGTACGTGCGTGGCAAAAATTCGCATTTTCCACCTCTGAAAAACCCACTAAAAATAGCTGCACATTTGTCTCAAATAACTACTATTTATTTAAATGGATTTTGCTTAAAAATTCCACTTAAATATTAAAAATAATAGTTTAATATCATTAATATAATGTTTTGTTTTGTTTCTGGCTCGTGCGAAGGTTATTCATCAATGCTAATGCATAATATAAATATTGGCAAATGTAACACAAATCAATAGCCAAAATAATATTCAGGTGGCCAAAATCGACCACCTGATTACTTCGTTAATTTAGCATTCCACTTGACACGAATCTCAATGCCCCAGCTGATTTATTGTGTCCGCGGAATGACCTGAATCTGCAAATACTTCGTAAACCACTATTTCAGCATTTGCACAGTGTGCTATTTTCGAATGGCGTTCACAGGTATATTTTGTGCTCTCCTGCGTGGAGTTGAGTTGCGAATTTGCCGCTTGTGCAATGTCCTGTTGTGTCCTGTCTTGCCCGAAACGAACGCAGTACGGGTGCGCACGGCGGAATTCAGTAAGACGCTAATTTTAGCCTCGATGGCCTCGACGCCCAAAACTAGAGCGCGCGGCCCCGCGACGCGTGATACGAGTCACCCATACACAAAACACACTCACACACAGATCCACACAATACAATATTCAACATAAAGTCAAAGATTTTGTTTCTTGTTCAGGACGAACGAGACATAGCAAGGCAGCAAGATGTTTAAAAGCCACTTAGAGATGATTGGCCGCAACGAGACGGCCTCCAAGAAGGCCAAGTTCTGGCAATCTTTTGTTAGGTCCCTCAAAGGTAACAAATTTTTTTTAAATCATGAAAAACAGTATAATTTTATGTTTTTTTTAATGTTTTTATAGGTTCTGAAGATATCAGAGCCGATGACACCAAACGCCCATCCAGCATCTTCAGGCCCATCTCTGATTACGATTCGACATGGCCCTACGGCAAGTCGATCTACGAGGACCCGATCCACGCCGCGGAACGCATCACTATTCCCGGCTACAGATACGATCCACTTCACCGCGACACCTACGGCTATTCTCCACGCCAGATCTACCCCCACAACTACGGTAGCCTCGATAGGTACAGACCCGGTAAGTCGACTCTCAGCAGCAGACGCCATTTGTAATGTGCCGTGCCGTACCGCAAATGTATAAAATAAAACCAAACCAAAAACATAAAAAGTCAGCAATATATCAATATAAAAACCATCAACAAATCAAAAACATCGTCACGATTGGCTGCCTCGTCGTCAAGACCAACCAGATGCTAAACGAAAATCAATGAAACGAACAAGAACCTATCAATCAATCAATCAATCGATATATTTTCATCTAAACGTGTCTCGCTCCAAGTATAATTAAATATTAATTATATACGCATACGCAACGCAGGAAGAACGCAAAGATTCACACAACAACGCTTCGAAAAGTTTTTCATTATTTAATTAAACGCAAAACACTCATTGCACTACCTGTTATATCTTCTCATGTAATCTTTATGTCAGTGTAGTCGTCCGTGCTGTATATCCGTGTGTCAATGTATTGATTTTTGATTTTTATTTTATTATTTTTGCCGATTTTGCAGTCATAATAACAACGGCGGTTTTATAAACGATTTCAAACAATTGTCTCTAATTTGCAACAGCCGGAAGACAACAATATAACATCAACGTGCGTCTCACGATAAGTTCAATTCTTTCTTTCTTTTTTTATTTTCTTAAACTTATATGAAACGCAAAAAATATATCTATATCTATATTGTAATACACTTTAACCCGTCAAACAACAAATATTTAATCAATATTATATAAAAAGATAAAGATAAACGTAGATATTTGAATCTGTAAATAATTTTACATTATTTATTAAATTCTTATATATATATATATAAAGGAAAATACGTCTTATGAGTGTTTCGAATAAAAATAAAAATACATTTTTTTGGGAAAACGAATTAAAGACCACGCAAAGTTGCCCCAGCAAACGCTTGAGCTATTTTTAAGCTTCGTCCACGTATGAATCATGTTGCTTTCTCATACTTTGTGCCCTGAATTCGTCGCAACTCGCAATTCTTTTTTCGTACACTCTAATAACTCATGGGGCAACTAATCAATGTGAAATCAATCAATCAATTAATTGAAAGTGCGATTCAGTGTCACCGAAACATTTGAATATGTTGATTATTCAATAACGTAAGCTTTGATATAACTCCAGCATTTGCCAGGGCGATTTGTTTGCTTTTTATTTATTTACTATTTGCACCCAATCATCATTATCACCATTATTATACACATGATGAATTTTTGTGATTTTTTTTTCATCACGCCCACCAGGATTTACAATTTTTGATATTATGAAAATAGAATTTTATTGCGAGAAGAAAATGAGGGCTACGAACAAGGTAAGAATCATTGCTGCTGATAACTCTCACTAACGATCATTGATCTAATCAAATCGTATATTGATTATTATCTATTTTATTTCGTGCTTACTGCATATGCAAATACGTACCTACCGATTAACATAAAATATATACTTGAAACAATAACACTGAATATGTGGATAGCGAAAAATAAACTTGCACGATCATAAAATAATGAACGACTTACTATTTTTCTGCGACCGATTGCATGACGTTGAATTTCTTCGTCAAGGTGACATTGAACGAATTGTTCAAATTGAAAATTGTTCATTCGTTGTTTTTGTCTGTTAATTATTTCTTTATCAAGTGTATATAATGATTGTGGTGAATGTTGTTGGATGGTTAAATGTGTAACTTACTGATTTGTGCTTGTATCGTGATTGTTAGTGTTCCACGTGAGCAAGTTGAAGCCTTTTGATGCTGACGCTGCCTGGAGGGAGCATGTGGACCGTGTGACGAAGCGCGAACCGAGCATCTTCCACACCACCTATCCATTCAGTCGCTATCCACTCTACTTGGTCTACAGCAAGAAGGCGCAGAGGCCCAAACCTCAGTACGACCCTCATAAGGACTGGTTGGACTCCCTTGATCGTCTCAACTTGCTCGACAGGCTCAACCACTACTGGCCCAGGTCCATGTCCCCAACCCCAATCAAGGTAATTATAAAATTTATTGTAGTTATTTGTATAATTATTCTGATGTTTGATGATTCGTAGCCTGGAGAGTGGGGCCCACGCGCAAATGAAATTGGCTACAACTACGCCGGCCAGCCAATCTTCTCCCTTGGTGGTTTCCGCCCAAGTAAGAGCATATTTGACGACCTTATCAATCCGTCCCCGTATGTCCCAATGTCCGCCATTGCCCGTGATCCTTGGTGGCACTACTGCCCGTCTCTTCGTCCGTACCGCCCTTATAGCAGCTGGGGCCGGTCACCTTACTGGCTAAGGGACTCTTACCTCTCCCCGGTGAAGAGGACTTACTTGTGGGATAAACATCCCTGCCGACCATTTTGTAAGTACTCTGGCCGCGTGACGCCTGCCGCGCATTACATTATCTCTTTCGGTCTGCACCACGAAAACATCTCTCGAGGCTTGGGGCTTTTGGGTCGCAGAAAGCACCTTTCATCATTTTGACGGAATGCACATTTCAGAAGCAGCTTGGTTTTATTTCATCGCTGAATTTTCTCACGACCTTGATTCTGATGATGAAGCCCATCTGATTTTTGTACGGACAGCACACTACACATAAAAACAACACATATTTCTATATTTTTTATAGCTTATAACGGGCATTCGATGCTTTAAACTTTAAACATTGCTATGGTACACTAATCATTTTTATACGCGCAACGCATTACGGGTGCATTTTTTATATCAATTGGTCGAAATTAAGTCCTTTTATATCACTTTCTCAAGGTGTAAGTATACAAAAAGCCACCTCCTTCAATTATATCCATAGAAATGTATTCCATTTTCCTCAAATATGTTGTTATGGTTTTTAGCTGTCTAGTTAAATGTTTTTAATCGTTTTTTACTAAATGGTGGGCCTCCCAACTTCTTAAATTAATTTCATAAGCTTCCAGTGTTGTATAACCAGCTAAAACTGATGTTATAAAAGATTGCAGTTTAATTACCGCACTACAATCTTAGATAACATCAAAGTAATTGAAATTTTTTTGTCAGTTGTGCATTAATAATGCTTGTTTTACAGCTGCCGTTTATTAAACGGAAAATGGAAACTGCCGACACCGCTAAGTTGTCTCCGCAACTTTAAATCAATCAAATCAACACAACAATCTTCAGATACACAAACACATATTTCTATAATAAACTAAACTTCTGTCTATCGCAATTTGCAATCAAAACAACAATAGATTTACACTCTACACTTAAAAAATACGCATAAAAAATAAAAATATTTAAAAAATGAAACGAAAATCGCAAAAAAATATTCAAAAAACTTGAAACATTAATTTAAAGTTATTAATCGTCGTCTTTGTTCGCTCTTTGGTTCAAGTCCTAATTTATTTGTTCAGTTCCCATGTCGCTGGTGAATGTTTTATTGAAATTATATATTTATTTTTTATAAGAAATGAGATGTGTTCTTCAACGATCAGGCACACGACTGCGCTCCCATTCAGTTTTATGCTAAACGAAATTACCAAAAACAAATTATCGAAACGTGTCTCGTCATTCCATCCGTATTAAACGATTTGTAAAACGATTGGGATCTGCGCAGACACGATTAAATTATTTATTGAAAAGAAATTGTACGGACATGTTTATTAATCAAAAAAATAAATGAATAACAACAATACCTATATTTCTGTAATTTTTTAACCTTTTGTTTGTAAAAAAATTAAGGTGTGGTAAATGCAACACAAGAACGCAGCCTCGCCGATTCTTAAAGCAATACTGATAGCAATCAACATTCGGTTAACCGAAACAGCGTGATCTCAGACGGACACGAGAATCTGCATTTAACTCCGATAAAAGATACAGTTTAACGCACACATACAACAAATATTTAATGCACGCGTGTTTCTATCTAACTCAGTATACCCTCATGCACACAAAGAAACTACTCTGCGCGCACACTAGTAATATTTAATTCAAATAAGTGCATCGCAGCGCCATCGGGAGTCAATTTATGTTACTATAACTGTGATTATGCTTTTTCAATCTTTTATCGTTTATTTGCCCTATATCAACTTATATTTTCGCGAGAAAAAGTAACTTTCATTTATCAAGATCCAATCTATTTCTATAGCAAAATTTATCAAAACTGACCAATAATTAATCAGTAACCCATGAAAATACTGATTTCCAATCATTCCTGATTTCTTTGACTTTGATTATGTACTTTCTCGAATGTATCAACCAAAAATCCGTTGGATAAAGATTAGACAATTAAATTAAGCCCTATTTTCATAAGATACTCAACATTTTCTCTGGGAAGTGTAGTTATAGCAATGGAAATATCAGGAGCGAATTTATATGGCAATACCAATAAATTTACTTACACAATATGCATATGATTATTACGAAATAGTAATAACTAATTAACCATTAGAAAATAATAATAATGTAACAAATTCTGTTTTATGTACACACGATGTAAGGTTCATAACCAGTCATTGACAACAGTGGAATGTTGTGCAACTTGCAAAAAATGGAAAAAAATAATAAATTACACGTTAGTCGATAAACCGAATTGAATAGCGCTTCCTATAATTTAGAAAATATCATTCGTTATCATGCACCAAATATGTGCTGAAGTTCTGGCACCACATCCTTTTTCTCTGCTTTCTTTGGAAAATCCAAACGTGGCAAGTCCTGAATTTTCACCTCTTTTTTAAACAGTTGTCCCATGCTACGTCCTACCAGCTATAAATAAAAAAGAAAACAATTATTATCAATAGATCTATAAGCAAACAAAAAAGAATCTTACAGGTGCAGTCATTTTCTTAAACAAATCCTTCTTGACCTTCTCAACCTTGTTGCCTTTGCTGGTCTGTCCTGAAATCCGCTCGTCCAATTTTTGCAAGTCGACTGGGTTAATGCCAGGAATCTGTTGCATGACTGCGTAGACTTCCTGAAACGTCGGACGCAATAACTCATACATTTGCGCGCCAAGTGTCAATAATGATCCTTGATTAGTCTCATGCTGTCCGTGAAGAGTCATGCCGTTCAAAACAGCCGCCATGATGTGAGCTGCCATTTCCCCATTCAGGGAATTATCAGCTACCAATAACCTAATGATAGGACCACAGAGGTATGTTGCTTTGAGAGATGCATTACTGTCGATCCAAGATAACGCCCCAAGGACAGTCAAAACAAGAGACTGGCATGTCTTCTCCGAGCGCAGAAGCAACGTGCCCAGATCGGAAATCACCTCGTTAGTTAAATTAGTGCGCGCGGATGGTGTTGGCGAGTCCATGCTCAGATCCTCCGTTTCCATTGTATCCGGAGAGGAGCTATCCGGCGTGAGGCTGCCGCCAACCAAGGCGACTTTGAGTAGGTCGAGGTATTCGCGAGTGAGAGCGCGCGTGAGTATATCTTCGAGGACTTCTTGTGCATCGGCATTATTGTCTTCTTGTGCTTCTTTGACTTTCAATTCGTTGACTTGTTTCCATTTGGCATGCAAACGAGTTGCCACTTGAAAGACCATCATATAATTTAATACCAACATAATGAACAAAAAAAAATTACTTACTTATTGGAGCTAAATGACACATAATTGGTAGCAAAACAACTTCATAAAATGGTTGCGGACATGAGTAGATAAACGGCTTGAGAAAGACACGAATTATTGGCCTAATTCGATAATCAGGAATGTACTAAAACAAAAATATAGATATTTTCAATAGTGAACGAAATTTCGCTAGGAATAAAACTTACTTGCAACCATTCCAGTACACTCGTAACAATAGCAGGTCCCAAATCAGGCAAAGTGTACAAATCCCGACCCAAACTGGAACCAATCGAGCCCATCAAATGATAGCAACTTTCATGTAATCCTGTCAAAAAACGTTGCATTCTCTCAACGGGACTCTGGCCGCTCTGATTCTCGTTCAATTCCGGGGTATGTCCAACCAAACCCAACAAATTAGCGCGTTCAACCTCAAGCATACTCAAGCAGCCATTATAATTATGATTCAAGACACCTTGCGCCTCAGGAGAGAACAATTCGTTGAAGATTCGAATCAAGGACAGTACATGTGACAATAACGGAATCACGTGTGGTGCGGCTGGATTGCGACAAACTGGATTACCAGATTCAGTGTGTGCCACAACAAATCCACCCCTAGTTGCACGTTCGGGATCATCCGGCCAATTGCAGCGCTTCACAGCACCCAAGAGTAAATTAACGCAAAATACGATATTACTACGATTCGGACCGCATTCATCCATAGTTGCTGGTGGTTTGTTCAAGCCAACAAACGCCATAAAATCAGTAGCGCCTTTAAAAGCACCCGTATTCGCAATCAAAACCCACTGCGCGTTTGCATCTCGCATAATTTCACCGACAAAGTTACTCTGTCGCTCATAATCACAGAAATGATTCGAGATGAGAAGAAGAGCTTCTTGTAGGGTAACTCGTTCAAGCATCGAGAGTTGTTCGGGACCAGAATGCCGAGACAGATTCTCGACGGTAACGCGGATTTGATCAAAAACAGGTAGGAGAAGAAGTGGATACTTGTTGCCAATTTTCACCATAAGCGACGCAGCATGACGGCGGACATTCTTCACTGCACGCGAGCGTGAATCCTTGCTTTGTCCTGGGGGTGAATACACAAGCGCAGAGAAGATTTTCTCGAGAACTTGTGGGAGTAACGCTGCGCCAGACATTGCAACAGGATTAACTGTAAACATTATTCATTTAAACCACATTCGGAGTACAAAAATGTTAAAAAAAAACTTACTTGCCGGAGCCATTTGTCCAGACGACATACTCAAGAAAACGAACAGTGCTGAAATGCAAGTCAAGAGTGTGGAAAGAATCAACGGATCTACAGGCTGATATGTCAAACATAACTGTAGCAATGTTAGACCAGAAGTCACCGATGGACGTTCCTGCGTCTGCAAAACGCGGCTGAGAATGCTGTCCAAAAAGGAAGCCAACGCTTCCCACTCCAAGTAGACGGGGTCACTCAAACTTAGGCCGAAAGTAACGTTCGGTACTTGTAAACATTTGACTAACCATTGCTCAACGTAAGCAAAAGTCACCAATGGTGCAATTACAGTCGCTTGTCTAAACAAATAAGAATAATATTGCATTACATACAAAAATAAAGATGAAATAAACAAAGCCTACCTGAAATTGTTCAAGAATTCCGACCGTGACTGATAAAACACGATTGAATACTCTTCTTCACTGTCAAATTCCTTCCGTACAAATGCCAACGCATCTTGTAGATTAGGTACGGCGGGATTTGCTTTGTTGCTTTGATAGTTGAGTTTGATGATCTTTGGAGCAGTGCGCTGTAGCCATTCGGGAATGTACGACAAGAATATCGGATCCCGCGAGATTTGCTCGTGCTTCATCATGTTATTCCAAATTGGATTCGCCTGATGCGCAAATGTCAAACTGGGATGTCCGGAAAATGCAATCAACGCTTCCAGAAATGCAACAAAATTAGCAGGGCGACCAATACCGTCTTTACCCCAGAGTGAACACAATTGCGTGCTCAAACCGTTCAGTACTTGAATCAGTTTCTTCTTGAACAGATAACTCTGTTCATCTAAGTCCACTGATAAATTCTTGGTACCTGCTACCAAACATTGAATGGCTTCATCGTTGAAGAGTATTAGCAATGATTTACGTTCTTCTAATTTACCTTTTCTGTTAACAATCTAAACAAAAATATACAAATAAATTAAATATGTGAAATTAGTGATTATTTTTATTCGTACCTGTGAAAGACATTCGGCAGCAGGACATTGAAACGCATTGTCATTTAGTAGCAAACATAAAATCTGCAATAAGCGCCCGTTGTGTGCCATAATATGAGTCATGCTAACCCATTCGACAAAACCAGTCAGCGTCAAAAGAACCACCTGAACTACTCGACCATGGGACGTCGCCTTAGCCTGATTTCCACCCTCAACAGAAACGCGGAATTGACTAACGTGCAATTCGATTAAACGGAGGAAGAAGTCAAAGATAACGGCCATATTAGTCGTCAACGCCTGATAAATATCTTTACGACGTTGATTCGATTCAAGGGTCTGCAGCAACGCGACATCTTCAACAAGCCGAAGGAAAACAAGTAGCACGAGTTCAGTCTGTATCTCTCCACAAGCGCACGCATCTGAAAGTTCCGCAAGTAAGCCGGGCCACTGCTGTGGCCATTCTCGCTTTACCATTTCGACGACTACCCGACTAAGCGCATCCTTCATGTGTGGTTCTTCCCCAATTCCACCTGCAGCTAACAATTTCATCGCATTTTCCTTGATAAAAATCTTTTCCTGTTGTGAAATCTGGGTCCATCTATATTTCACAGTATGTTCCATTAATTGTAGTCCAAAGTGTCGAGAAATGATGCTGTTTTGTGTACCAGCTGCTAGAAATAATCCTGCTTCTGCACACAGGGGTGAAGTTTCCTTGAAGCTCTCACATGCATTGTATGCTTTTAGCCTATCATTCTGCAAAGCTGTAGGGCTCATGGTGAGCTCAACAGCGCGAGCTAAATCAGCAGCAATTGCTGCTACATCTGGCCCAGCCATTTTGAACAGCCCTACACTAACTCACTGCTGAAATGAAAAACATTACTTTAAAATTGTTCCAAATGTACATGATGAAAGCCATGCTTTCAGTGATGCAAGCTGTTGCTCCATGTGGCAATACAGCTGCAATTTGACGCAAAGAAGGTTTTGATTGAAAGAAAATGCGTTGGATTATCCAAGGGATGGTGTTAAAGTACTTACAAAATTTGTGACACTCGTGAATTCGCGATTTTTCAACTGCACACATGTCACGAAAACAAAACAGCATGGCACTCGATCATCTAGCATATCACACCTAGCCTAGCGCGATGACGATTCCGCAGACGAGCTACTTGAGTCTACCGTCGGTGCAGAATATACCCGCAGGGTAAGTGCGGTAATCAAAAACTGTTTGTTTTTGCGCATAAAGTTATTGTTTACAACATTTGATACTCTAATTTGTTCGTAAAAAATGTGATCGAATTTCTTCTGGCGCCTGGCGGTTGTGCCGGCTACACGAGCGACACATTCAGTAGCTATGGGAATTAAATTTAACCCGAGCTGTCACGCGCTTCGAGTTTCAGAAACTTTGAAATTCCTATTTCTAAAGCGTATTACGTGATTTGAATTATATTTAATTAAAAACAAATTTGATTTTATTAGTTTTATATTTTATTGTATAAATGCTACAAGTTATAAATCTAAAACAGCAGAAATTCGAAATTTGTTCGGACAGTTTTGAAACTAACATAGAGGGCGCTGCTGCAGATGAAAACTTGCAAACGCGCTCGACGTGCGACAGCTCTTTCTCGGTCGTGCTCCGCCAAGGAAACGACACAATGGTAAGTTTTACAAACAAATTTCTTAAAATATCTTAGTAAAAATGAACCATCGATGGTTCTAATAACTAACAAACTGATTGTTTATAAACCCGAGTAAATATTTAATGAATATTTTTCGTTTTTAGTCGGCACACAAGACATTTATCATTAAGCGCAAGCTCGCTAAGAAGCTGAAACAAAACAGGCCGATTCCCCAATGGGTACGCATGAGGACTGGAAATACAATTAGGTATGTTTTTATTAGACTTTATAATTCGATTTATATATGATGAAACAAGTGCGTATTTCCAGTAAATTCTGTCTATTTTTATTTGGAATTAAGCTGGAAATGTGCATGTTTGTTTTGGTTGTAATAATATAACCTCAAAGTGAACTAGTGTTTGATTATTACTGTTACTTTGTTTTAGATACAACGCTAAGAGGCGTCACTGGCGTAGAACTAAGTTGAAGTTGTAAACATTCCAAGCTCCCTTGGAAAACTGCTGGTTGGATAAATTTCAATCTAACTTATGTTATTATGCTACCTGTAATATCTTTGTGGATGAAGTAAACAATACAGTTTATTTAACACATTTGTATCTTTATTTTTAAAAGAACTGTGATGTTGCAATTCTGTTTAGCTTTACCAGAACCAGGTCTGTTTTATATCCATGAGTCAGCAGTTTTTAGCTTTTATTTTGAAAGCATAAAATCTCTTTCACATGGAAAACATCTTAGGGGCATTGTAAAATTGTTTTCAAGTCAGATATAATGACCCAATACATTTATTTCTTATTTATATTTTACAAAGAACTGGTAATTTTACGTTTTCGAATATTGTCTAGCCAGTCCTGTAACTGTTGGCTTGGCTCTGTGCTACTAGGGCGAATATAATAATCCTTTGGTGGTTTACCTTCCTCCAATCTAACAAAATAATGACAATGAACATAATGTACAAGTCCTCCCCTCATTCTAGCATGTCTTCTTATTCCCTTAATAACTTGACCTTTAGTAGTAAAAGATTCAGCTGAAAATGAACATTAATAATATATTAAACTGAAAAAACGTTTATTTAAATTTGTGTACTCACCAACCCATAAATTACTTCCAAATTCAACATTGTGCTCTTTTACAGCAATTTCCTTAGCCTCCTCAAGAGCTTCCCTAACGTATTTTGCTCCTTTTTAGGCACAAATTTGAGTTGTTTGATTGCTTCATCAACAGTCATACCTCTGATCAGACATGCAATATACCACATTTTAAAAGGACTATATTTGATATTTGGCTTCTGATGACAAACAAACTAAAAATACAGCACAATATAAGTTATCAGCTTCATATTAACAGTTGATTAATGTGTAGAAACTCATGTTTAGGTACATTATATTACTTACTGCTGGCCGTGGAGCTTCTCCAGGTTTTTGTGGTGGATAAATTACATCATTGTATGTTAGCCAATGTTTTGGGGCCATGTCGTCCTGCCTCTTTCCTTTTGCGTTGTTGACTGAAGTTGTATGAATAGTATTGTCGGTTTGAACTAATGCTAGGATTTGTGGCTTCTTCAATAATTGAGTTAAACTTCTCAACCTTGTTAGAGCCATATTTCTTGTTTTTAAACAAATAATGCAATCACCTACAGAACCAACAAAATTTTAAGGTTAAATGCAGGCACGACGTTAGTTTGACAATCGCATTTGAAGAATCGCAAGCAGCACAGCGTTAAATTGTATCTGTAACGAAAAAGGGACTTAAAAACTAAATTATGAGTGAAAACGTTCAGAATATATTTTTTGCTTAAATTCAGTTATAAACGATAGTTTTAAACAAATTAAAAAGAATAAAGTGTGCTTTAAGGATTTTTAAGTTATATATTTATATATCACATTGTTTTAGAGATATTGCACCTGAAACTGACATAGTAGAAGAGCCATTCTTGTATCAGATTGTAAATATATAATTTCTGTATCATTTTCATAAATAACTTTTGTGATTAACGCATGAAAGAGTGACGCAACTTACATTTTCGTGTTTCGAAGGATTCATTTTTGCTTGTTTTAAGGGTTTTGTACCTGAGTCCGACATTGTTGAAGAACCAATTCTGCAAGAAATTGTAAGAATTTAATTTTTTTATCATTTTTACAAATAACTTTTGTGATTAGCTCACGGTAGAGCGACAAAATTGTATTTTTGTGTTTTGAAAGGCTGTTTTTTTTGCTTCTTTAGCTAAACGCGACGTCCCTGTAAAATCAGCGTAAAAGCTAAAGGCATACAATTTTACGTTTCGCCGCGTTGTATTCTACTATCGTAGGAGATACATCTGGAAAGCTTGTAGGTACCGGTAAATTGAAATTTTCTTAAATAACTTTTTCAAGTAATAATCGCTTAGTTATAGTTTTATATCGTGAGTTATATTAAAATTTGTGTGTTAGAAATTGTGTCACAGAAACTTTGGAATAATTTGCCTAGATGCAGAATTAAGTTTTTTGTTACTCTGTATTAAAATATATTCCAAAATAGTTTCATAACGTGAGTTATATTGTAATCTTGTGTGCGAATAATAGTAGGTACTCGTTGCGCTAGAAATTGCAGTTTTGTAAATAAAACAGGTAGGTAAACCCGGTGTTTCAATGGCTTCGGAATAATTTTTCAAAATGCGAAATTTAATTCTTGATCACTTCGTATTTGAATATATTGCGTAAATTGCATTAAAGCAAGCAGATTTTTAGGAATTAACTTGTGAACAAAAACAGCAATTTTTATGCTCAAACGTGCGTTTTCAAGCAATTAAGCACTACTAAAACTCATTGTCTTTAATTTCTTGCGTACTTATTTTTAAATTATCTTGTAATAAATAAATATCAAAAATGAACAATTTTGGGAGCATTTGGAAACATGGTGTGGGAAACTCTCTGTATCTAGTGAACTTATTGACTTGCTTAGAGTTTCTCCACGCCAGAATAGAGCTAGAGAGTTCCTCTTCACGACGTATTCCCTCCAACCTTCCAACTCTTCCGGAAGTGCCCTAAAAATGCTCTTCAAAAATGAGCAATTTTAGAAAATTTTGAAAACATGGTGTAAAAAACACCCTGTATCTAGTGAACTAATTGACTTTCTTAGAGTTTCTCCACGCCAGAATAGAGCTAGAGAATTCCTTTACACGATGAATATCCTTTCAACTTTTCAAACCTTCCGGAAGTGCCTTAAAATGCCCTTCAAAAAAAGATGAGGTGGAAAACACCCTGTATTTCCGAAACTAATTGACTTTCATAGAGTTTCTTCACGCTAGATTAGAGCAAGGAAGTTTGTCTACACGATGCATACCATTTCAACCTTCCAGCTTCTTCGGAAGTGCCCTAAAATGCTCTTCATAAATGAGCAATTTTAGGAAAATTTGAAAACATGGTGTGGAAAACACCTTGTATCACGTGAACTAATTGATTTTCTTGAAGTTTCTTAACGTCCTGTTAAAGTTCGAGAGACCCTTTACACTTTACACTATGCATATCTTTTTAACCCTATAAACCCTTTGGAAGTGTCTTAAAATCCCATTCGAATATCGCTATTTTGTCTAATAAATTTCAGTTATTGGTCGAATAACAGGGTCAAACTTTTTTTAATAAATATTTTTCGGCCGAAGATCAGGGTCGAACTTTTTTAAAAAAATTTTAAAAAAATTTTCCGGTCGAATTTTTTTGTTAAATTTTTTTCGGTCGAATAATTTTGTAAAAAATTAATCGGTCGACTTTTTTTGGTAAAATTTATTCGGTCGATTTTTTTTGTTAAAATTTTTTCGGTCGAATTTTTTTGTTAAAATTTTTTCGGTCAAAAAATAGGGTCGAACTTTTTTACTTAAAATTTTTCGTTCGAATTTTTTTGTAAAAATATTTTGGTCGAAAAACCAGGGTCGAACTTTTTTACTTAAAATTTTTTCAGTCGAATTTTTTTGGTCGAAAAACCAGGGTCGAACTTTTTTACCTAAAATATTTTCGATCGAATTTTTTTGTTACAATTTTATGGGTCAAAAAACAGGATCGAACTTTTTACTTAAATTTTTTAATAGGATCGAACTATTGTGTCAAAATATTTTTCGGTCGAAGAACAGGGTCGAATATTTTGGCGATTATGTGAAGAACAAAAAGGTCTACGTAAAACGAATGCATTTTTCTCTAAAATTGTAAATAGGGTCTAAACGGTTAATATTAGTTACTAAAATAAACGATGTAGAATTAAATTATCTATCAGAATACGATTAAGAATTTAATAAAAATTAATAGTTCCATGCATAGTACGAGTACAATTCTTCTCATGTTCTGCACTACCACACTGAAAGTGTCAGTGTTTACAAGCAAACAAGTTTCTTTATCTTCTGCTGTTTTGTGCGGTCGCCACGCGATTTGCGTGCGTACCACGTTAGTCTCACTTTTGTCGTCAGGTGATCTGGACGCACATTTTCTTTATTTTGAGTTCCTTAATTTTTTTGTCGCGTTATTACGTACTGTTTCTAAATGCTTCTTTGATTGTGCGCGAGTGATGTGCGGCGTTCGTTAAGCGCGGATTATACACACGCAGAGGTAAAGCGTGAGTGATATTCCGTCGGCCGTCGGATACTCTTTTTGTAGGTATCATACGCGTCTTTGATATTTATTTCGTATTATCTTTGGATATGCCAAACGCGCAAAAATTAATTTTGCTTCAAGGTATGTCAGCCATATGAAAATCAAATCCATTATTTACTTAACTTGTGATTATTTCAACCGCGTGGTCTTTAACCACACAAATAATTTTTGTCTCTGTTTCAATACCAACCGTTGATATGCAATACGATACATTGTTTCGTTTTAGTTTAATGTAGGTACAAATTAAAAGATTAAGATTGTCGTGTGCCGTCGGTTGCCTTCAATTCTTTGGCGGCTTTTTCCTGCAAAACCCACTACCCACCACTATTAGATTCAATTTTTAATTCCGAAAATAAGAAAGAGAAATCTTTTGCCTTTTTTATGATGAAATCTTCTTTTCAGCAAGTGCAGCTTTTGAAATAATTGGAGTTTTTAAATTCTGTTTTTGGATTTTGAAAGATAACTTTTCTTAATTGATTCTTTAAGTACTTATTTTTTTATCATTGAATGTTAGGGCCATATTTGCAATTTTAATAAAAAAAATTGATTTTTACATACCAAAATGACTTTAATCTACAATTATGTTACATGTTTCCGATTTAGAATTTAATATTCTTTCAAAAATCAAAAACAGAATTCAAAAATTCTAATTATTACAGAATCCGTATTTGTTGAAATAAAATATTTTGTCATAAAAAAGGCAAAAGATTTCTCTTTTTTATGTCGATTGCAGTTTTCACTAAAATTTGCAAATAGGGCCTAAACGGTTAATCTTAGGAAAAAAAGTTTCCAAAATAATCGATGTAGAATTAAAAGAACTGTTTAAGTATTTATTATCGTAACATTGAACATTTAGGACCTATTTTCAATTTTAATTTAAAAAAATAGGTGTTTACACGCCTTTAATCTATAATTTTGTTAGGTACAGGTGTCCGATTCATAATTTAATCGAAATTAAAAGTTCCATACATTGTACGAGTACAATTCTTTTCATGTTCTGCATTACCACACGGAATGTATCAGTGTTTACAAACAAACAAGTTTTCTTATCTCGTGCAATTTTTGTGCGGTCGCCACGCGGTTCGCCTCGCGGGTGGCTTGCCTACCGCGTCAATCTGATATTTGTCGCCGGGTGCACGCACATTTTCTTCACAATAATTTGAGTTCCTTAATTTCTTCACATCATTACGTAATATTTCTAAATGCTCCTTCCATTGTGCGCGAGTGATATGCGGCGTTCGTTAAAAGCGAATTGTTTTTACGCTGAGGTATATCGTGAGTGATGTTCCTTCGGCCGTCGTTCATCATTTCTACAATGTGCATAATTATGGTCCTTAAGTCCTTACAATTTATTGGATAGGCCAAAACCTCAAAAATTAATTTTGCATCAAGGTATGTTCTCGCATTTCTTAAGCCATTTGGAAATCAAATCCATTATTGCCTTTACTTGTTTTTACCTTAACTGCGTGGTCTTTAAATCTGCAAATAATTTTTGTCTCTGTTTCAATACCGTTGATTTGCATTACGTATTTGATACCTTGTTTTGTTTTTGTGTAATGTACAAATTAAAAAGATTAAGACAGTAACATGCCGTCAGCTGCGTTCTTGATCCTCTGGCGGCTTTCCGGGCTGGTCGCTGGTTGTTTTACATGATTTAAAATAAAATTTTGCTTTGTACTTTATTTTTGTAATATCCAACCCATCACTTTTCCTTCATATCCAAAGAAAATGAAAATACAATTTTTGAAATGTTCTATTTTTATGTTTTCTTACTTCCGGTCTTTCTTTGATTTCCGGTCTTAACATTTTAATTTTTTTAAATTCCTGATGGCTTTCTTCATATATTATCTTGTTATTGTCGCCTTGTTAATTGTTTCCATGCGTTTTCCTACTTAAATCTTAATTTTTCTTTGTGTATCACCCAGGTGATATATTTTCCTTATCATTTAATAATAGGGGTTATTATTCGTTTTACTTTTAAAACTTAGAATATTCTTTTTGTAACACCCTGTATATTAATTTCCCGTGGTGCCAAAATGGGAAAGATGTATGTTATCCCATTTAAACTTAGGATTTTCCTTTAAAATAT